AAGCTTTAATTAACCCGYYGTTATCTCTCCTCACCACTATCCTCGATCGTCTTCTCGCTTAAAATGTTAAATAACAAATTCACCTCTCAGTCCCTAGCCATCCTACTTTGGAATGCCAATGGCCTAGCCAATCACAGAAACGAASTAATTACATCATTAAACGAAAAAMGAATAGACRTAGCATTAATCTCAGAAACACATTTTACGTCCAACTCCAAATGTTCTTTTCCCGGGTACAACACCTTTTCCTCATRCCATCCCGACAACATCGCCCACGGTAGTGCCGCCATCATTATCAGATCATCACTMCAATTTACCGCTGTCCCCCCAGTTAATAACGACTTTCTACAAGCGGCGATAGTTAATATTATTTTAAACCACGTGCCAATAACCGTTGCAGCAGCATACTGTCCCCCCAAACATAAAATCACGCCTTCACAATTTGATTCCTTTTTCAACTCTCTTGGTCGCTAYTTCATTGTAGGAGGCGATCTAAACGCCAAAAACCAAACTTGGGACTGTCACTCAACAAATCCAAAAGGACACTCTTTATTCCAATCAATTACCAGCAATCATCTCACTATCCTTAATCCCCCAWATCCGACCTATTGGCCTACTTCTACCAGAAAGCGTCCGGACATACTCGACATTTTCGTTACCAAAATTCCAACTWATCTAAATCATCTAATAAAAAACTTATTAGACCCAAGCTCAGATCATACTCCAGTCTTTCTCTCCTTAGACGGTCATCCTTCCTCCAAGCCAAACAAAGCATGTCTTACGAACAATTCTACGAATTGGACTAAATTTCGTGAAATAATAAATTCAAAAATAAACCTCAATATTAGTTTAAAGACCCCAAACGAGGTGGAGGATGCAGTTCAAAGTTTCACCGAATCCATTCAATCAGCTGCTTGGAATTTTTCTACCATCCAAAATTATCATGCCAACTCCCATACAACTCCCACCCACGTTAGAGAACTAATTATTCAAAAGCGCCGTGCTCGAGCTAGATGGCAACGCACTAGACTTCCCTCAGACAAAAACTTGCTCAATAATCTTGCCTCATCCTTAAAACGAATGTTAAGTAAAATWAGAAACGAATCTTTCAATAACTGGACCTCCTCACTTACCGCAGAAAGTGGGTCGCTCTGGAGGGCAACCCGCAGCTGCCTGAAGCAGAAAACCRCCCAAGCTCCACTAAAAAATAGTAACGGCAACTGGTGCAAAACAGATAAAGAACAAGCAGATGCCTTTTGTTCACACCTCTCGAAAGTCTTTCAACCCCATAATGATATTAACAGCAATCTTCAAGACACAAATATTGAAAACTCCCTCTTCTACCCACTACCTCTCTATCTTGCCCCCAAACCGTTCTCACCAAACGAGGTTCAATACTATATTAAATCTTTTCCTCTTAAAAAATCACCCGGGATAGATCTAATCACCGCAGAGGTAGCTAGACAACTCCCTAAAAAAGCAATTATTCACCTAACCCATATTCTTAATTCTATATTAAGACTATCTTACAYGYCCCTCCTTAGACCCAGACCTTCCTTTCTTTTCAAAACTCTGTGAAAAATTAATTATCAAACGCATATCACAGCTCGTTTAGGATAAAAACATAATTCCTCATACCCAATTTGGTTTTCGTAACAACCACTCCACCATACACCAGATTCATCGCTTAACCGACGCCATTGCTTACTCCTTCGAAAACAAGCTTTACTGMTCCGCAGTGCTACTCGATGTTGCTCAAGCATTTGACAAAGTYTGGCACACTGGACTTCTGTATAAACYAAAACAATTTCTCCCTCCTCCCTACTTCCTATTCTTCAAATCATATCTAGAAAATCGCCACTTTGTGACTAAAGTAGGCTCAGAATTCTCAAACCTAGCACCCATCTTAGCGGGCGTCCCCCAAGGTGCCATTTCGTCCCCAATTCTTTATAACATATACGCCGCTGACCAACCAATTTCTCCTAATACATCAGTTGCTGAATTTGCCGACGMCAAAATCATCTTCACCTCTAATGAAAACCCTCTTGTCGCTAGCCAACATCTACAAAATCATCTTAATGAGATGGAAGTATGGTATTCAAAMTGGAAAATAAAAATAAACAACGAAAAGTCTTCACATATAACCTTTACTCTCAGACAAGGCGTAGTCCCTCCTGTCTCTCTGGCAAACAAAATAATACCATCAGCTACCAAAGTTAAATACCTAGGCCTACTTCTCGACAAACGCTTAACTTGGGCCGAGCATATTAAACAAAAACGCCTTTTACTTAACTCCAGACGAAAAAGTCTTTGCCCACTGCTAGGCAAACAATCCAAGCTAAACCTTAAGAATAAACTATTGCTTTACAAAACCCTTCTGAAACCCRTTTGGGCTTATGGTATCCAATTATGGGGAACGGCAAAAAAATCGAACATATATAAAATGCAAACATTCCAATCAATAACACTTCGTATAATCACCAACGCTCCCTTTTACGTTACCAACCATACTTTACACTCTGATCTGGGACTACCGACTGTAGCCAAAGTGGCCACATCCTCCTACAAGCGCTACCGCTCTCGCCTTACAAAC